CAAGAGAGTAAATGCAATCAGTTTAGTAATCAAAGAAACACAGAAGTTCTCCAGGGGGACGTAGGACTTCATCAGAGCTCTTGTTCTTGTGGAAAAAAGCTGAAGTCTAACTTTATCTGTACTCACGGAAGAGCAAGAAAAAACAGAGGGCAGCTGCCCTCTTGGTAAATTCTAGCCCAGGGTGAGGAGCAGCCCCAGGAAGCCCTCTAGAATGAAAAGGTACTGGCATTGTATGACCGATGGTAGCTACACATGTGGTGAGTATAGCATAAGTATAAACTTATTGAGTCACTGTGTTGTACACCTGAAACTAATGTAGCGTTGTGTGTCAACTATAACTTAAAAAAAAAAAAAAGGGGATCCCTGGGTGGCTCAGTGGTTTGGCGCCTGCCTTTGGCCCAGGGCGCGATCCTGGGGTCCCAGGATCGAGTCCCATGTCGGGCTCCTGGCATGGAGCCTGCTTCTCCCTCCTCCTGTGTCTCTGCCTCTCTCTCTCTCTCTCTCTCTCTCTCTCTCTATATATATATATATATATATATATATATATATATATATATATATAATAAATAAATAAATCTTTAAAAAAAAAAGATGTTGGGGTGACGGGGTGGCTCAGTTGGTTGGGTGACTGCCTTCAGCTTGGGTCATGATCTCAGGGTCCTGGGATCAAGCCCTGCTCAGGCTCCCTGCTCAATGGGGAGTCTGCTTCTCTCTCTCCACCCCTCCGCCCTGTTCATGCTCTCTCTCTCAAATAAATAAAATCTTTAAAAAAAGAAAAAGAAAAAAAAGATCCTGGTATTAGTGCCAGAGCTTAACACATGCCATAGCCCAATTTGAGTACAGGTCATTAGGTGTAAGGCCATGGCAGGAGTTGAGTAGTACAGGCCTCATGACTGCTCCATTCGGAGTTTATCCTGGTGTATAAGAATCCATTAGTATTTTTTTTCCATGTGGTTTTCTAGGTCTCTCAATACCTTTTCTAAAAAGAGATACTGTTTAATTCCTTATTTTGTTTGTTTTGGGGTTTTTTTTAAGTAATCTTTATGCCCAATGTGGGGCTCAAAATCACAACCCCATGATCAAGAGTCACAAGCTCTACTGATTGAGCCAGCCAGGTACCCATGAGTCTTAATATCAGTATAGAAATATAAAGTGAAATACAATTGTTTGATAGAGTTAAAGAGTATCTAAACACATACACGTACACATTTAGTATCAAATAACAATTGCACTTCAAGTCAATGTTGAATGGATAAATAATTTAACTCTACTGAGAAATAAACTACAATGCACACACTTAAAATATACAATTTTACAAAACAAAGGGTTTTCTATCAAAATATACAATTTGATACATATATGTATACACTCAGAAAATGCTCACCATTATGAAAATAATGAATATATACATCACCCCCAAAAATCTTTGCCCCTTGGTAATCCCTCCTTCATGGTCTTCCCCACTCCACCCTATTGCCATCCCAAACAACAAATCATCTACTTTGTCACTACAGATTAGTGAGCATTCTCTACAATTTAACATAAATGTAATTGTACATATTGTACATTTGTTTTTGTGTGTCTGTGTTTGACTTCTTTCTCTTTTTTTCTTAAGTAGGGACCGTGGAGGCAGATGTGGGGCTCAAATTCACAACCCTGAAATCAAGACTGGAGCTGAGATCAAGAGTTGGACCAACTCTGCCACCCAGGCACCCCTCTGGTTTCTTTCATTCACCAAAATTATTTTGAGATTCCACCCAGGTTGTTACATGTATTAATAGTTCATTTTTGTGTGTGTTGTTGAGTAGTATTCCACTGCATGAATATATCACACTTTATTTTTCCATCCACCTGTTGATGAATATTAGGTAGTTTCCAGGTTTTGGTTAAGAACATGTAAATACAAAGTCTTTGTATAGACATAAAGCAGGCAATGTTACTTTTAATGTAGAATTCAAAGCAAAATTCATTAACCAGGACCAGAGACAACTTTATACTGATATCTACTAAAAAGATAATGGTCAAAAGGCTTTAGATAAGCCTTCACAGCAACTTTCCATTGTTGTCAAGGATCTATCATAAGCAAGATACCAGTCCTCGCTGATTTTATGAGCAAGTTCTGCCAATCTTTAAGGGGATAGGTTGTGCCCACCATTTTCAAATTTCCAAAGCATAGGCAAAAAATAGTAATAAGCTTCCAAATTAAGTTTGAGGCTGGCACAATCCTGATCAAAAGACATGACAAAGTGTTAAACCCCTCCCCCTAAAACACAAAGAAACTACCCACAGAAACTTCCATAATAACAAGGTGAAGAGGGGGAAGAAAACTGTAGACCTCTCTTCCTCTTGTGAATACTAATGAAAATTCCTAAGTCAAATATCAGTAAGTTGAATATGGCATAGGTTTTATTTCCATAAAACAAAGGGTGACATGAAGAAGTCAACTGATATCATTAATGGACAGAAGAGATGATTTTTTTAAAAAATTTTTCAAAACTATTATTCATCCTTGATTTTAAAAAAATAAACCTCTTTGTGAACTAAGAATAAAAGGATATTTCCTCAACTGTATGATAAATAGTCTAGCTTGGACTTTGTTTTAATGTACTGTTTGATGGCTTTATAGTGATTCTGTATTCTCAGAGAATAAAATCATTTCCATTGTAAAATAAAAAGAAGATAATGATTGTGGGCATAAATTGAAGGTACCTTGACAGCTGTGAAGGTGGCACTAGGATATTAAAAATGCATGTGGAAGAACTATCATACAATCATATTAAGAATTTTCACAATTTACAAAAAGCAGTTCATGAACATAAGCTCATTAATCTTCACACAATATTGCTATTAAGGTAAAACAAATTCCAAATATCTGTCTGATTAATACTGAAACTGAGACAGAAAATGAGACTCTATCAAATGTCTTCTACTAAATTCCACTCAGAAATTAGTCAAAAGGCTAAAAAATAAGTTCTAAATACAACTTAGGTTTTTTTCTTTTATTTAAAACCTTTGTGAATTGAGGGAGAAAAAAGTGTGAAATCAAAAAAGTAGACATCTACTATCTTGAAAATACCAGAACAAAGTGAAGATGCAAGACTGTGCATTTCTCTAATGATTAGTGATACTGAGTATCTTTTCATGTATATTGGCCATCCAAAGGTCTATTCGGGTGGTTTGCCCATCTTTTAATCAGATTGCTTTATTTTTTGGGTATTAAGCTGTATTAAGTTCTTTATATATTTTAAATATCTTTTAAAAGATTTTATTTATTTATTCCTGAGAGACACACACAGAAAGAGGCAGAGACATAGCAGACGGAGAAGCAGGCTCCATGCAGGACGCCCAATGTGGGACTCCATCCCAGGACTCTGGGAACACTCAACCGCTGAGCCACCCAGGCATCCCTATATATTTTAAATATTAGCCCCTTATCAGTTGTATCACTTGCATATCTCTCTTTCTCATTCACTAGATTGCCTTTTTGTTGATGGTTTCCTTTACTCTGCAAAAGCTTTTTATTTGGGTGCAGTCCCAACAGTTTATTTTTGCCCAATTTCCTTGCCAGAGGAGACATATCCATAAATGTTGCTGAGGCTGATACCCTACAGATTACTGCCTATGTTTTCTTCCAGGAGTTAATGGTTTCAGGTCTCACATTTAGGTCTTTAGTCCATTTTTTTTTCTTTAGTCCATTTTGAGGTTATTTTTGTGGATGGTGTAAGAAAGTGGCCCAGTTTCATTCTGTTGCATATAGCTGTCCAGTTTTGATGCCAATAATCTTTTATCTCCTCTACTATCCATCTCCCTCAAATTCTTTATAAACTTGTAAGATTCCAAGTTTATCTTTGGAGTGTTTACTGCCATAAAATTCAGAAGATGTAGGGAACTAATACTTGATTAACAATATTTACCCCCAAAAATACCAAAGGATGAAATACTGATATGTGCTACATGGATGAAACTTGAAAACATTATGCTAAGTGAAAGAAGACAGTTACAAAACACACACACACACACACACACACATTGTAAGACTCCATTTATCTGAAATGTTCAGAATAAGCAAATTTAGAGAGACAAAAGGTAGATCATTGGTTGCTTAGGGCTAGGGAAGGGAGGGGACAATGAGAATTTACTGCAAATGGACAAAGGGTTTCTTTTAGGGAGCAAAACCATATACTAAAATTAGATTGGGATGATTACACAGTTCTATGAGAAAAAAATATATATACATATATATTGAATTGTATAATTTAAATTAGTGAGTTGTGTGTTATCTGAACTATATATCAATGAAACTGTTTTTTTAAAATATTATTGTAACTTTATTATAGCTGTCATTGAACAGTTACTACCTGCAAAAAGACTTAAAAGAGACTCTATGTCATCTGATTTTTGCCACCTCTGCAAGGTCAACTTTTACTCTTACAGATAAGAAAACAAGTTCAGTGAAATTAAAATATTTATACACAAAGCTGGCCAGGAATGATGCCCAGATTTATCACTCTAAAGATGTATCTCCCTAAGCCTATGTTTTCTTAATCAAGCCATGCTTGCCATCAAAGAATGGAATTATATTTCCATATAATTATTATATAATAATATAATATGTAATAATTATATAAATATAATTGACAACAAATGGCCTTGTAAAAACAGGCATTTTCTTTCTATCAGTGGCAGGAAAAAGTTTTTGGGGGGCATCACTTAGGAAATAAGGCTTCAAAGGTTTAGCACCACTGTTACTCAATTCAAAATCCACATCTTAGAAAACAAATGCCTCTGAAAAATAACTGAAAGTAAATAAGGTCATATAATTTGTCACTTCTCTTTCAGTTTATATCAGCTAGATTATGAATGTCTTCAAGATACAGACCTCACCTGATTTGTCATTTTAAGGTCAGTACATCTAAAAATTTATTGTTCTTTATTTATATTAAAATGACCATAAAACATAAATATACAGACTATAACCATTTCTTTAAACTACATTATTAAGTAAAAATATTCCTTTATTTAGATTTTATTACATTTAGTTTTTTTATACATTTAGATCTTTACAAACAACAACTTACTAGTCATTCCAGAAAGGTATGTGGACAAAACAGGTAATTACAAGAGGAAGAAACACAGATACACTAAAAAAATCATGTATTGTGACTCCTCCACCCATAATGCGACTAATCATTATTTAGTTGTTATATTCATTTATTTGCTATCTTAACAAATTCACATATTCAGTGGCTTAAAACTAATACATTTATTATCTTAGGGTTCTGTAGGCCAGAAGTTTGGCAACAGGTCTCAGTGGGCTAAATTCAAGGTACCAGCAGGGCTGTGTTCCTTTCTGGGGGCCACAGGGGAGAACGTTTCCTTGCCTTTTCCATTTTCTTAAAGGCCATTTGCATTCCTTGGTTCATGATCCCTTCCTCCTTCAAACCCAGTAAACAGGGTCAAGTCCCTATATTGCATCCCTCTTCCATTTTAAGGACCCATATGATGACACTGGACCCACACAGATAATCTCGGATAATCTCCATGTCTTAGGGTCCTTAACTTAATTGCATCTGCAAAGTCCTTTTCCAGTGTAACAGAACACATTCAGATTCTGGGAATTAAGACACTGACATCTTTAGGTGGCCATTTTTCTACCCATCATTGTTGCCATTGTCTTTAAAAAAAATCAGGATATAGTGAATTGAGCCTATGTTGGAGGGTAAGGGGAACATACTAATGGTTTAAATGGAGAATGCAGAATTTGAGATGAAAACCCCTCCTTTTTTGTCAGATTTTTACTGGCATTCTATTTTGAAGATAAACCACAATTAAATATGTGGGAATGATAGGAGAAATCATTTGCCATTCAAAACCCTCAGAGGAACCATCCAACTGAATCTGTTGATTTTTTAAATCTGAACAGAAACCAAAAAAAGCTTATTTTTCACTTTCCTTCTATATACTGTTCCGCCCTGGCACTCAGGAACTACCATTCATAGGACAATCACAGCCTGTATCATATAACTGGATGTTGTATTAATTCAAACTAGAGAAAGGTAGCTGGCCATGAGTTTTATAAACCTTTACAGTAAAATATCCAAAGGATCATTATGTATGTATATATGGTTATGAAACCAAAGCTCTCCTTTCTGAAAGGCAATTCAACATGAAGTCTCACTACATTATGAGACTGACATTTTTTAATTCCCCAGAACAACGTTTCATTCAATGTTTAACTTTTCCAATTTAGCTTTGTATCTTTTGTGACTCCAAGATAAAAGAGTGATGTTTGATGTACTGAAGTTATAGCCAGCATTCACCAATTCCTTGATTCGACTTTTTAAAGTACTCATGCTTGAATCCAAAATCCGAGGATTTTCAATTATTTGTGATATGCTAAATTTTTCTTCTATGAGATAGTCTATTTTATCATTGAACTTTTTTTTTCCTAAGAAGATCACATCTGGATAACTTAAGATAAACTTGTGTGCCTCTTCTTCAGTACACCCAAGAGAAAACAGCTTCTCTTTGATATTTGTGTAGTTTCTGTTGACATAGTCATTGGAAAGGTCTAGAATTTTAGCTCCTGGACCACAGAGCAAAACAAGCAGCTTCTCATTGTTCAAATTAAAAGTTGACTGTAAAAACTCAATATTAGTTTTTACCCGTTTGGTACTCTGAATTAAGATGAAAGGGTTTTTTAAAATTATCTTCCCAATAAAATCTCTAGGCTTATTGTGATTCAAAGACAAACAGACTTCTTGCAAATATTTAATCATCTGTTTATTCAAATCTAGACTGTTGGAGAATGTACGCGGGGCATTGGTCAACAACCGACAAAGGCATTTATGAGTCAATCCAACTGAGTAGAGGAATTTTATATTATTCTCTAAGTTTCGGTTGTTACTGGACCGAAAAAAAGCTTCGGGAGAACGTTCCAAAATATTTATAATCTCAAGGTCTGATGTCATAATTCTTCTCCACAGATCCCACCGTTCTGAAAGACTTTCTGGTGTGCGTGTTATGGCTCGTGGATATCTTGATATAATGCTAGCAACAACTTCTTTACTAGCTCCTTTGGATAGAAGGAACATCTTCAGGTCCTGCTCTTTAGTTCCCATCCTATTAAAAACTCCAGGCTGTCGTTTTTTCGCCTTATCAACATCTACTCCCATTGTAAGTAAGTTATTCAGTAATTCTTCATTCTCCGAAGACTCACTGTCTGCATTACCACATTTCACACTAAAAAGCCTAAATGAAATTGATTTAAGGAAGACTTCTGTTGAAAATTGGATCATCCAACATCTTGAACCAAAGATAAAGTTACTTCTCATACAAAAGAAGCTTCTTGGTGCCATAATGATCAGGTATCCCAAACTTTTTGGAATGCTGTGTAAAACAACATACATAATATTATATAAATGCATGTGTTAAACAGCTAAAAGACCATATTATAATCCTGTAAGCATCACGGTCATTTCTAAAAGAAAATTTATATAGCTCCAGCTCTCCTAGTACTGTATTAACAATTCAGCCACTGCACTCCCGCTCTCTAGTTTCCTGCTTCTGATTATCTGTGAGCCTGGGGCTGTTTCCATTCTTAATGTGATGAAAAGCAGTATAGCAGCATCATCATCCCACAACTATTCCTTCCAGGCCTTTCACCTGTTCTTTGTATTTGGACTTGCCTATGTTTGCTACCCAAAAACAGTTGCCCCTCTCAACTTCTGCTTTATCCTCCTGGTTTTCAAACCTTTGGCTTATTCCTACTAACTGAAGCTTTCAACTGTGCCTTGTCTTCCAACTTGCCAGATCTTTGGCTTTCCCTCTGCCTATAGATACCAAACTACTTTGCCCCTGTTCCCTCTTCCTGGTTCCTCAAGCTCTAAACATAGCCTTGAAAATCAACACTTCAGACTAATCTCCGTCTTAAACACCTTTTTCTAGATGCATGCTTCTCTTTAACCCCACGCTATCATTAGTCTTAATTCTTAGCTTTATATAGACCTCTGGTCACCGGTTCTCAACCTCAATCTCCATCTCCTTCAGTTCACCTATCGCTCCCTTCATTGCAACCCAACTGCTCCAACCCAATTTTTATCTTCAAAATGATTTATTTGGGCTGTTCAATCCACAGAGTCACCATATGTGGAACTGTGCTGAGAGCACATGAACAGTGAAAAGTTACTTTTACCATCCTCCTCTGCCCAACCACATTATAAAAGATGAGCCCAGAGCTTTCTGCATCTGTCTCACAATACACCATTTCAGGCAAATGACTAAAACCTCAATAACTCATTTTCCTAATCATTTAGAAAGGGGGCACAAAATGTATGAATTTATATATGATAATAACCATAGGTACCTACTAAATTGGTATCTGCATTTATAGGAATTACTTTATCAGGAAAGCAACAGAAAATTTTTCTTGTTATTCAATTTGTCAGATGATTAATGCTCTTAAGCTAATTGTGGTCTGAGTCATAAAACAACTCCTATGTACTTTCTCCTTTTTAGACTACATGGCTGTAACAAACTTAGTTCTTAATTTCTCATTATTAACAATGGGCTCTTATAACTTGAAGCATTTCTCTTCTCACCTCTCCTAATTAAACATAAAATAAGAAAAAGAGATAGATGATTTTAACTCACTACTAATATCTCTGGGCTTGAGATGTTGCTTTCAAGATCAGTACCAAAGAAAGCCTCTCTGTGTATGCCCATTTAATTAAACTACTTTTTTTAAGATTTTATTTATTTATTCATTTTTTTAATTTACGATAGTCATACAGAGAGAGAGAGAGAGAGAGAGAGAGAGAGAGAGAGTCAGAGACACAGGCAGAGTGAGAAGCAGGCTCCATGCACCGGGAGCCCGACGTGGGATTTGATCCCGGGTCTCCAGGGTCGCGCCCTGGGTCAAAAGCAGGCGCCAAACCGCTGCGCCACCCAGGGATCCCTTAAGATTTTATTTTTAAGCCCCACGCAATGTGGGGCTCGAACTCACAACCCCAAGATCAAGAGCTGCATGCTCCCCCGACTGAGCCAGCCAGACACCAGTAACTTATACCAATTTAACAAGAGTTTAAGATTATTCCTAGAGTTAGGGAACTCTCCCATATCTCAGGTAATCTACAGATCCTCAGAATTAGAAAAAGATTCCCAAACTATAGAATGCAGGACAAACAAAAATGCAGGACACACAAAATAAACATCAAACGGTAGCACATTTTAGATTGCCGTATACTGAGTTCACTATTCTTAACTTCTCCATAATACCACATACTGCTCTTTAAGTACATATTCCTCCAAAAATGCATGAATTTAGAAACTCAAAAATAAGATCCGCATTCTAACTTAAGAATGAAGGCTCTACTTGCACAGCTCAACAATCTGTTCTCTCTTCCAGATGCTCAAGGGTGACCTCTACTGGATAATGGTACAGAACACAATATACATACACTGGAGGTACACGTAGAAAACCTTTTTTTCTACTGAGAGTGTACACAATCAAAAGTCTGAAGACAACTACTCTAGACAACAAACTCTGAGATGATCAGCACCACGACAAACAGGCCGAACAAGCCACAGAAAGTTCAAAAGAAATTGTACTAATGACAGAGTAACAGTGAAAATATATGACAAATTTCTTAACAAAGGAGTCATAAATCGATTAAGATTTCTTTCTCTTGAATCTGTGAAGGTGAATTTTACGTCTTGTGTATAATTCACTCTCTGTAGAAATATCTTTCACATGAATTAACAGGTCTAAAACCGAACTGAACATCTTTCCCAGCCTCTAAAATAGCCTTCTTCTGATGGATGGAATCACTACCCTTATCCTAATGGTCACTCACGATAAAAATCTAAAAGTAATTACTTTCTTCCTGTTCCTCAACCTTTTAGTCATTGAATCATGTAGATTCAGTATCTTTGTTAACATCTCTAATCTTTGCTATTCTCCCTCACCTAGACTATTAACAGCCACCTAACCGGCTTCTCTAACATCAGTTATGCAAAACCGCCACCACAGTATACTCGTAAAACAAAGAAGTGATTACATACATGCCTTATTCCCAGATTAAATACCTCTGTAGCTCTCCCCGAGAAAGCAAAATCTTCAGACTGACCTTCAAAACTCTCACCATACCATTCTAACTACCTTCCTAGATATCTGTTCTATTCGACAACCTCACAACCAGACACTATTAACTCTCAAACCTCAGATCCTAAACATTCTTGCCCATTTTTGTCTCCCTGCCTTTGTAGAAGCTATTCTTTCAGAAAGGCCCACCCTCCCATATCTATCCATAGTACAAGGTCTCATTCGAATACTACCTTCCCACAAATCTTTAACTTAACAAATACTGCTGAAGTGAATCGTTTTATAACTTATTACTAAAGAACTAAAACTAGGGGCACCTGAGTGGTTCAGTCAGTTAAGCATCTGCCTTCAGCTCAGGTTGTGATCCCAAGGTCCTGGGATCAAGCCCTGCATCAGGCTCCCTGCTCAGTGGGGAGTCTGCTTCTCCCTCTCTCTCTGCCCCTCCTCCCCTTATGCTCTCTCTCACTTCCTGCCTCTCTCTCCCAAATAAAGTATTTTTAAAAAAATTATTTTTTAAATCTAAAACTAAGTATTCTCTTTTATAATTTCAAAAAACGATGAACCGGACTTAGAACTGGCAAGCAAACTTTGGATTTGATTACAATACCATAAAGGCAATCAATTGACTTTAAAAAATGGTAGAAGTCGTCTCAGCTAAGGCTAAAAACAATGACAACTAATATCAACTGTTAGCGAACATATTAGGAAATGCAGAGAATTTTCAAATACCACTGTTGGAAGGGAATTTGGCACCACCTACCATATCCTTTAATCCAGCACTTTGATTTCTTTAAAATTATCCAAAGGAAATAAAAGGACAATATATATTTCTTATGAAAAAGGATGACTACCCTAGCATTATTTGCTATGATATACAAAAAAGAAAAAACCCAAATGGTGACCAACAGAATGATTCATACATTGTGGAACATCTATGTAATATACTATACAACCTTATTTTTAAAAAAAAAAACTGGCATATCTAACACAATGGAAAGATATCCAAGATTTTGTAAGTGGCAAACCATGTTGCAGGATGGATAAAATGGTATCACTTATATAAAGAGGGGGGATATTAATATAGACAAAAAAGATAAAAAGGTAGTAGGTTATCTCAGAGATGAATGGGGGCTATGTACTGTTCCTGAAATACTGTGGTATTATTTACTAAATATGTTGTTTTGCAACCAGATAAATTAAGAACAAATTAAATTGGCTTAGGGCTGGGCACCTGGGTGGCTCAGCGGTTGAGCATCTGCCTTTGGCTCCGGTCATGATCCCAGGGTGCTGGGATCGAGTCCCACATTGGGCTCCACACTGGGAGCCTGCTTCTCCCTCTGCCTATGTCTCTGTCTCTCTCTGTGTCTCTCATGAATAAACAAATAAAATATTTTAAAAATAAGAAAAATAAATTGGGTTAGGGATGCCAAAAGTATTGGGAAATATGTCACCCTTATCAATTTTTCATTTTTCAACACAAAAAAAAAATTAAACCTGGAAAATACTGATCTTGATTTACTTTTAGCATCTGATCCACATTCAAAACATTCCTGTAACATCTAGCAAGGTAATAAATACATAAGCAGCCTAATGCAAACAGTGTCAACTGTCTCAATCTGCAAATTTCAAGAATAATTAATATCCCATAATTTATTTCAATCTGTTTCTCAATTTGCTATCTTTAATGAACCAAAACCATTATTCCAAGGGCTAAAGTCCTAAATTAACAAATACACTGGAAACCTCTGTACTCAGAAACTTGTAAGGCCTTAGGAATAAGACGATTCACTTGATAAAGGGAATTTAGTGGAGATGGTTAATCACTGGCCCAGGGTACTATATTCCAGCTGGTCTTTTTTGATAACACAAGGGAAGTTTGAAGCTCTTTTCAGCGATCCATTTCTCACCTAGTTTGTCTTAAAAAGAGAGGGCGTTGCATTTCTCCAGAAGAGCTGGAAAACAGCTGTCCCTAAAAATGGGGGGAATAAAAACGGGGGGGACAAAATATTGTCAGCACTTCGTGATACAGAATAAAGAAATCGACCCCAGCTAACACCGCATAACGTCCTTGCGAAAAGCGTCACCTCTTACGTCCTAAGCATCTCAGAAATACCGAGGAAAACAGCAAGAACAAGCCTGAGGATTCATGGGAAAAGGGAGCGTAATCACGCATATGACCTGGAAAGCCGGAGCTAAGTGCTTCGCATATATTGTCTCACTTCAACCTCACAACGGAAGAGGTAGGCATTGTTCCTAAAGCCAGAAAATGAGCGGCAAGGCCGAGCTCTGTCACAAGTTCGTATTAGCTCACTGAAGCCACGGCTTCCATTCCATGGGTTCTCCCTGCCCCTCTTCCTCCCCAACACCAACTCGCCAAGGGGCTGCGCGGGAAGGAGACTCTACCATATATCAAAATCACCCAGACCCCTTCTAAAAGAAAAGGCACACGCACAGCGAGCCACAGACCTCAAACCGGACTGCATTACTAATATTCGATAGGCAGCCTCTTTACTTCCGCCTCTCCTCTCTGGGGCGGGACCGAGAGGCGGAAATGAACCAGACTAAGTTCCGGTCGCGCGGAGGTGACGTCTTCCTCTCTGCGCCCCCCGGCGGCCGCGCCACAGCCCCTCGGTAAGCCGGACGCGAAGAGCCCGGCAGGGGGCGGCAAGAGACCACGTGGTGAGCGCAGGGGACCGGCCTCCTAGGGCTGGTTTGGGAGGGAGGCGGGTCTCCGGCGTTTCTCCGACGCGCGGGCCGGGGGCCGAGGGTGGCGGTAGCGATCCCCTGCCTGCTGGCGACGTGCGGTAGGACAGTCGCTATTATACACGGGGATTTTACAGCTTGATAGGGCGACTACGCTTATCAGTATGGTTAACATATGCCAGCAAACACCTCGGCGTCGGGTGCCCGAAGGCGCGTGCCAACTGGGGCCCCCGAGGAGTCCCAGAGTCTCGTCCCTTCCTGAGCTATAGCCTCGAAACCCCGGCGGGTGGCCGCTAGTCCGACTTCAGCTTCCGCTTTCACACCAAGAAGCGGTTCTCGTACACCTCGATGTAACTGCCAGCAGCACGATTTACTTATGCTTCTTCGGAAATTGTGAGGCTGAAGTGTTTTTGCCGCCCTTACACCTTCCCGGTCCTGTTACTCTGGCTTGACTGGGGAGGGTAGCCCTGAAGATTCAGCTTCCGCTCAAAGCAATTCCGTTACCTCCAAAAGAAAGATTCTACCTAAATTAATGAAATCATCATCAAGCTGCCAAGTTCTCTTCCGGCGGAAGCGATTGGGCCTTTAGAAACACAGAAAGGGGAGGAGACGGTTGATCCTGAATTCCGCGGCAAGGAAGGCTTTCCTGCTTTACCCTACTCCATGGAGGAGCCGATGATGAGTCTTTATCTTATTTCTGTACCGATTACTATTTTCATCTTCACCCTGGCCCTTAGATTACTCTTAGCTGGTATGTTGTCCACTCTGTTTCGAATTAATTTTCTGTTTTATTGGTTTATAAGGGTGAAGATTTACCTTTGGAACTGTAAATTACGGTCTTTATGGTAAGTGGAATTGCTTAACTGCCGTCCCTCCAGGTAAAAAAGCGGTCCTGAAATGTTAGAAATGGTCTCTTTATGGGAGTTTCCAAAATCTCCTTCTGCATAGAAGGAGCTCCTAAATCTGGATTCATATGTACTGTGAAGTATGAACTTACTTGCATAAATACATAAATATAAGCTACTTTACAATGTAAAACAATAATTTTTTTAAGGATTCATTGAACTTTAGACTCTAAGAAGACCTTTGAGATTATGAATCCCTCCTTATGAAACCCCTCATTTTGCAGGTGAGACGTTGAAGCCCTTACAGTAGAAGCCGGCAAGATAATACTTGTGTCATACCTTCTTCACGAGTAATTCTTCATACCACATGCACTGACAAGGATTATTCAAGGTCAGCTCAGACTTACTTAGGCGACATCACTTAAGTTTGTTTTTAGTGATGTGTGTAGGTAAAGGAGATCGGTTCTTTTGAAAATAAGGGCCATATTTCCTATCCAAAAAAATTTTTTATTACAAATATATTTTAAATTCATATTGTAAAGCACTGACAAGAATAGCAACTAAGGTATGATGGTTGGGTTAGTATGCTGTATTAGCAATTTTTTTTTCTTCTCACATCTCTGCAAAAAGGTTTAATATTTAATGATTTGTGAAATGTTCTCATTACCTCCAGTAAAAGCAGTAACTACTACCTCATTGTCATTAGTGCCTGTATTTCATTCGTTGAATCAGCGAACACTTATTAAACACCTGTACATTCCAGGCCTTGTTTTCAGGATCGAGGGCATATAGCGGAAAACAAAACAAAGCCCCTGTCTTCTTTGACCTTATTTCCAGTGATAGATCTCACTCTCAGCCTGAGTGTCTGCTGCTCTGCATGCTTCCCCCTTCTCACCTCCCCAAGACCGCAGATGATCCATGCCCTACTAAATTGATGTAATTAAGAAGAAGAAAATGTGGTTGGAAACACTGCGGTCTCTGGTAGAAGACCAGAGGCAGGGAGTAAGTGATGAAGAAACAGAGAAAAAAAAAGGATAAGTAGTTGCAACATGGTGGAGGGCAGTTTTCCTAGTGTCACCCACTTGATCCTTGGGCTTACTAAACAGTAGGAATTGACTAGAAGCCAAAAGGGAGTGCCAGGCAAGGCTTTTATTGGGACTTATTCTGCAGCACAAGGGAAATAGCACAAAGGAAAGAGTCTTTCAGGCTGTGTTCCCTAACAGGCCAGGGAAAGGTTTTGTTTGTTTGTTTTTTAAGATTTATTTATTTATTCATTCATTCATTCATTCATTAGAGACAGAGAGAGAGAGGCAGAGACACAGGCAGAGGGAGAAGCAGGCTCCACGCAGGGAGCCTGATGTGGGACTCCATCCCTGGTCTCCAGGATCACACCCTGGGCCGAAGGCGGTGCTAAACCACTGAGCCACCTGGGCTGGCCCAGGGAAAGTTTTTGAAGGGACTGAGGAGGCAAAGGAGTGATGTTGAAACATACCGAGGTGGGGATTTCTTGGCACCTGCCAAGTTTATGCTTCTTCATGTGTTGCATGTCTAATTAGCATATTAAATATCTTACCCGAGGTTTTTAGTATTATAATGAGGGGAAACATTGGTGAAAAGTCAGCACAGGGGGGTCCACCAAGGTGCAGACTAGTTTGGTTCAGTCTTTGCCTGTCTTCATAGTTCTGTTTCTCCTTGAGATAATACTCACCCTGCTTCCACATTCTTGCAAGATACACTACTCAAAATGCATAGTTTCAGCTGTCAATGAAAGCTAGATTTCACCTTCAGGGTTGAGGAGGCCAAATCCAGGCCCTGCCCTGTCTCACTAGAAGCTGTTCTAAAGTTGTCATCTTTCAGAGTTTTTTATAAAGTCTAAAGTAATTCAATTTTTTAAAGATTTTATTTATTTATTCATGAGAGACACAGAGAGGGAGAGAGGCAGAGACATAGGCAGAAGGAGAAGCAGGCTCCCTGCAGGGAGCCCAATTCAGGACTGGATCCCTGGACTCCAGGCACACCCTGAGCCGAAGGCAGACACTCAACCACTGAGCCACCCAGGCGTCCCTAAAGTAATTCAGCTTTTAAGTTAAATTTGTTTTGTTCTACCTCTCTTTTACAACTTTCATTTATGAAACCATGGTAATATCAGATGGTATATGTGTTTTTAAATGACTTTACTTGAGAAAAGAAAGTTTGCCAAGTCTATAATGAAGCCTCTCCTCCAACTTTTTTTTTTTTCATCGAAAAGTGTGTTGCAGGGGAAAGTAGGGACTCTGGAGTCCTTCGTCCCCAAGTAGGACTTAAGACACTCAGCTGAAAGTCAAGTGTGAGTACAGATCTGTACTATATTTAGAAGGATCTCTGCCCTTTTACAACTAAGGGTTTCTTTCTTTCTTTCTTTCTTTCTTTCTTTCTTTCTTTCTTTCTTTCTTTCTTTCTTTCTTTCTTTCTTCTTTCTTTTCACTGTGTCAAATGTGCCTGCATCACCTGCTCTGTGCAGGAAATGTCCTTAGTTTTTCATGCAGATAGCTTTTTGTCACATCACAGCCCCTTTGTGGCCACTCATGTTTGCATCTTAGCAGACCCAATTAAGATCAGAAAGGAAGTGGCCCTCCAGTTTCCCACCATCCACCCACTACAGCTATACACAGATTCCTGGACTCAGTAGACAAATGCAACTCCCACCACACAGCAACTTCCTAGACAGACCTACCAGCTTCCTACCAGTGTAGTTTGAAGGCCTTCAGAGGAACATCATGTCTCTTCTCTCATTCTCTTGCCTGAGGTCATTTTGTGTGCTTATGAAAATACATGAAAAGGCTACAAATTGCTTATAATTGAGTAAAGCAGTGGATAAAGTTACCCTGATAATCACAGGTTAACACTTTTCTGTTTGAAAACAACCAGAAAAAACAACAACAAAAATACTTAGCTTAATTTCCTCCCTTTTCAAAATAATTACTTTTTAACAACCTTGGATTTCTTTTGAAATCTAGAGATTTTGGGTATCCCTGGATGACTCAGTGGTTTAGCGCCTGCCTTTGGCCCAGGGCGCGATCCTGGAGTCCCAGGATCAAGTCCCACGTCGGGCTCCTGGCATGGAGTCTGCTTCTCCCTCCTCCTGTGTCTCTGCCTCTCTCTCTTTCTATGTCTATCATAAATAAATAAATAAATAAATAAATAAATAAATAAATAAATAAATAAATAATCTATCTTTAAAAAAAATCTAGAGATTTTACTAATGGCAACTTTCCTACTCTGAAATGTGCCTATCTGGGGTCTAGAGACACTTTTTGAGTCAGCCTTCCTACTCCCACACTTAGTACAACCAGGGTCTGTAGCAAGGAACTAGGTACTTAGTCTGGCATATTTGCTGATTGCAGATCTGATATGATCCTGGATTCCCATGGTAGTTAGATTGCCATCATCAGCATGACAGAGTTGGCCAAGAGAAACACAATAACCATTTAAGATGCCATTCAGCCTGGTGAGTTTAAGTACCTTTTGGGTTATTTGATTCCATAGTACCATGCTTTCAATTACTATGAAGTGATTCTTAATCACTGGTAGAAAAAGGGGAAAAGGTGATCTTACTACAGAGTGGGGGAAGAGGGACAAATATTCACAAAATAGAATAAAATCTTCCTTGTCCAAAACTATTTCCCTTTCTATTTATAGTATTTTTTTGAAATCCCACCCTTAGAAATTTATTCCTTGGTATTTATAGCATGGTGATTTTAAATCCTAAACATGTTTGAAAGGGGGGAACAAATGAAGCCAACAGTCAACAAATTTTTTTATAAAGGGCCAGATAGTAAATATCTTAACCTTTGTGGAACATATACTATCTCTTTTGCATATTCTTCTTTTTTCTTTCTTTCTTTTTTCACAGCCCTTTAAAAATGTAAAAACTGGGGATCCCTGGGTGGCGCAGCGGTTTGGCGCCTGCCTTTGGCCCAGGGCACGATCCTGGAGACCCGGGAT